GGAAAATGCATCACTCTGATTGATTCAAAACCCTAACAACATTGCGGCAATCCAAAAAAATTATACTTTAGCATTAATCAGAGAAACGAAAGAATAATAGAATAATTCAAGTGCAGAAGCAGCTGAGGAACTCAAATTTGGGGGAAAAAATTAGGGTTTTGGGATTGGAAAGTTACCTGGAGCTGGGAGAGGAGATTGGGACAGGTATCGATATCGTTGTGATTTGGATTCGAAGCACGGCAGAAGGGCGCGCAACTTAGTGAGCGCCGGTGGCAAATTTCTAACAAATTATTTATTTTTCGACTAGAAAAATATAAATTACGCTTATTAACGTGGTCAAGATTTTCACATTCTATGATATTTGGGAGTATTTGTAACCGTCGGATCTTTATTATTGTTTTTTTTTTATCAGGCTTTCTATTTTTAGTAGACCTGGCAATGGCATTTCGTGTTGTGTTTTTGTTTTGCGTTTGTGTTGTTTTTGTGACATATTCGATCTTTTAACGGATAATGTCGTGTAAGAGTAATTCCACCTCTAAAAAAATGCGTCAACATCCAGCCTATTTAATTCACTCAGTGAACAGTGATAGACTCCAATGAACAGTAATAGATCACATACATCTCCATCCCTAAAACAAAGTAGCCTAGTCAATTTTATTAAAATATTATTAATTTTTATTATAAAATAATAATTTGATTTTTAATTTCTTCTTCTTCTTCCCACTATTCTCAAAAGGGTCTCTTTGGATTGCCAAAATCCCATGTTATTGTCTTTAAAGTGTGTTCTTCCTTGCCACGATACAAAAGGCTCACCAAATTTTCTGATCAAATCATCCCCAAAAATCCAATCTTTCAATTCGATCCCCCACACTTTAACCCTAAATTTCACTTTTCCAGATCAAATGGAAAATCCCCAATCCAATTAGCTTCGAAATTCAGTAAAATTGAAAAATATGTTGAGCTCAAACTAGTATCAAGCATCTCCCTCCGATGCCTCGTCGCCGCTTTTAGGCCACTCCATCGCCAACAACATCGTCCGAAGTCGGAGACTCATACGTTGGCCGCCGCATCCTCTACATGGAGCAGCTCGGTTCTTGCGACGCGTGAGCAGCCGCTGGATGATGCTGCAAGAGTCGTCAATTAAAGTCCATGAGGCCGCGATAGAGCAGGTGGAGGATCGCCAGAGCGACTGGGCCTACTCCCGGGCGATTATCATGTTGGACCTATTGTGGAACGTTGGGCTCCCGGGAATTGTCGTCGAGGTGTTGTCGCTGAGCTGGAAAGAGAAGCCTTCCGTGCCTTTGAGGACTTAGATTGGCCGGTACGTGTATCAATGCCTGGTGCATATGGTCTGCGTGGTCGTAGAGTGCAAGAGGAGGAGGCGCGGTATCGCCTGGTGTCATGTAGGCCAGGCAAGGGCTTATCACATTCTGAGCCGGCCTAGAGACTTGAGCTGGGTGCCAACCTATCTGCTCAGCTGGAGTGGATTGGCTGGGTGCCGGCCTAAAGGTTCCCCGGTGAAACTGCTTTAAGACCCGTTAAAGTAAACGGGTAATATGACTGGACCCGAAATTAACTCGTTAATATTATCAAGTAATATGATCTGACCCATTACTCGTTAAAATATATATATATATATATTTTAAATCAATAAATAATAAAATGAAAACATAATTTGACCCCAAAAAAAATTGAAAATATAATACTAAATTTGTATATGTATACCACATTATAACAAAAATATTATTTCAAAACATAAAAATAACATTTATCTTCTAAGTATTACGTACCCCAATATAAGAGTCTAATAAGAAAACATTAGTATATTACTACAAAATACCAAAAGTTCAAGGATATGCAAAATGAAAGGAGTTGCATTTCAAGGTTGACAAAACCTTGCACGTTTTTTACAATAAAACCCTTCAATTTTCTTCAATCACCAAGGGAAATGATATTGGTTTATTTTGAACTCCCTTAAAAATACTATACGTGTGGGTTTGTATGGATTTAAAAATTCAAATGACGATGTACCCATCCTCAAAGTGTAGAGAGTTCGATCACGAGCGTTTGCATATTAATATTATTTCATATTTTTCGCACTTGTAAATTAATTATTATATTTTTTAATGTGTTTGGTATTTTTAAATTACTTGATATTTTTATTTTTAATGTGTTTTATAATTTTTTAATCCCACTCCTTGCATATAGTATACTATAAAAATAAATAAAGCTTAAATTTTTTAAATTTATATAGAATAATAATACAATAATACATATTTTAATATACAATATATACTTAGACACTATGACTATTGTATTTTATAGTAAGTTTTTTAAGTAGTTTAAAAAATTAGAATAAGTTTGTACCCATTAGTTTTTGGAAATTATAAAAAGATTCTTAATCTTTTAATCTTAAATGTACCCATTCCTATAATTTTTTATTTTTTTAATCTTAAATGTACTCATTCTTAAATATAACAATTTGTTATATGTAAAATGTCCCTTTTTTATATAAAATGTACAAATTTTTTATATAAAATGTACAAATTTTTTATATAAAATTTACCCAAATTTTTAATATAAAATCCATTCAAAATTTTTTAATCCTTTTTTAAACTTATTTGGGTACATTCTTTTTTCGTTGATTTGAGAATGATCTATGTCAAGTTTAATTGAAGAAATTTACTAATATTATTAAGCCTAATATCTTCTTCATTTTTTGTGTGTTTTGAATAATGTATCCATGTTTTGGTACAATAATTTTTTTTTTTGTTAAGTTTGATGGCTGTGCCCATATATATATGCGCACACACACACACACACACACACACACACACACAATATAATAGAGAGTATAATTTATATATTATTATTTTCAATCCTACAAATTATGGGTTATATTTAAAATCTCATTAATATATATAAAAATAAAAATAAAAACAAACAAACAAGTGTACGATAAAGGATTGGAGGCTCTCGTCTCTCCCAAAAAACTCTCCCTCTTTCAACCAAACCCTAGCCATCAACCTCTTCGCTGCCGGTCTCTGTGTAACATCCCACATCGTCCAGGGGAGTGGATCCTGTAAACCTTATATGTATATTCCCATCTTTACCTAGCACGAGGCATTTTGGGAGCTCACTGGCTTCGGGTTCCATAGGAACTCCGAAGTTAAGTGAGTTCGCGCGAGAGCAGTCCCAAGATGGGCAATCATCTGGAAGTTCTCGTGTGAGTTCCCAGAAGCAAAACCATGTGGGCGTGGTCGGGGCCCAAAGCGGACAATATCGTGATACGGTAGAGTCGAGTCAGGAATGTAGTGGGGGCCTGGGCCGGGGTGTGACAATTTGGTATCAGAGCCAATCCATGGCCGGATGTGTGCCGACGAAGACGTCGGGCCGGATGTGTGCCGACGAAGACGTCGGGCCCCTAAAGGGGGTGGATTGTAACATCCCACATCGCCAAAGGGAGTGGATCATGTAAGCCTTATCTGTATAGTCCCATCTCTACCTAACACGAGTCCTTTTGGGAGCTCACTGGCTTCAGGTTCTGTAGGAACTCCGAAGTTAAGCGAGTTCGCACAAGAGCAATCCTGAGAAGTTCTCGTGTGAGTTCCTATAAGCAAAACCGTAAGGGCGTGGTCAAGGCCCAAAACGGACAATATCGTGCTGCGGTATAGTCGAGCCCGAGATGTGGTGGGGCCCGGCCGGGATGTGACACTTTGGCTAAGGATGGGGGCCGGTGGCAGCCTCTCCCCTCTCTTTCCTAGCTCTTCCTCCCTTCCTCTTCCCTTCTCTTCCCCATCTCAGCCATCTTTCACCCTTCGCCATTCTCGTTTCTTCCCACCTACTCATGCCGACCCCTCATTCCTGACCTTTCCCTTCCTCATCTCCTCTCCCTTTCTTCTCTCCCACCATTTTGGGTGTAGTTATCCATGGATCTATGTCCTATACCCCGACCTGGGCCATGCCCTTTTAAGATTTTCTTCGATTTGGCGCTTGCTTTCCTGGTGTGGGGTTTAGATCTATGCTGTAGGTGGGTTGGATTCCCCTTCGTCAACTCAGTTCCATGGTAGTGTCACCCTCCTCGACGGCTTCGGTGCTCTCAGCTTTGGAGAATGGGCTTGGTCTGGGAGCTTGGCATATACGTCTCATTGCGGCTCGGCTCGGCTTATGTGTGAACACCGGCATCCTACTGTCCAGAAGTTGTAGGTGGGCTTGGTATGAGTACCTCGTTCCTCCTGTTATGAGTTGTACATCGAATCCTTTCTCGGTGTAGTGTAGTTCCTCTTGCCCTTGTGCACCGCGGTGGCGCTGGTGTTTTGGCTAATTTGGTATTCGCCTTCGTGCGTTGTGTATTGTGAGTCTCGTCCGCTAACGATAACTTTGACGTGATCTCACACTTTCGCGATGACTTTTTGTGGCCTCGCTATTCAGCGATAACCGTTGTGTCTGTCGGTATCTCTCTGTTGTGGCTATCGTTTATTGTGACAGATTTGTGCTGGTAGTTCTTGTGCGCTTGGCGATTGCGTGGTTGTGCTTGTGGGTGTCTATTAGGGGTTTACTATTATTTGTTTGTTTTATGCAAATTCATTCCAGATCAATTTATTGGTCACTGGAATTATATACCCAATGACACTTTGTAATTGTTTGGTGTTGATTAATGAAAGACTATGCTATCGTTTCTTGTCAAAAAAAAATATATATATATATATATATAAACAAATATAAATTTTAACTTTTAATTTTTAATTTAAAAAATATAATAACTTATACTATTACATTAATGTCAAAGATTTCGATAAAAAACTAAAAACAAACAAGGTTTCAGTAAAAGAATATTGATAGCCATAGACCGCATCCAAAGTGTCACATGTATATGTACTTGTATGATCGAGTATTTTGAGTTTGATTTCTATAACATAATACTTAAAGAATTAAAATTAGTCTCATAGAACTCAAGTTTTGGCTCATCGTAGGAATTTGACTCTTATAAAAAATAAAAATCAAATAAAAAAAGCTCTTGTTTAAATAAAAATAATTTTATTGGTTACATATCTGAAAATTACAATGCCCCAACTTACAGTAGACCCAGCAATTCCATAGCTTCTTATCAAAACATGAGAATAACTAAACAAACCAGAACCAATACCACCAACTTATTTAACTATCCTAATCTATCACAGAAACAAATTTGACTTAATTCATAGGATGAGACTGATGGAACCACAACATGAGAATTACTACAACCCTAGCTAATTCCCACAGGATAAATAAATAAATAAATAAACAAATGCATAGGAACGGTACCGAGGTCTACTTCATGAGACACTTAAATTGCTGCTCCACCTGCAAATGTTTTCTTGTTGGGTTCAAACACGTATTTAATCAGCGATTCCTTGATCGGGAGCAGTTCTGGGAACTCTTTCTTCAGCTTTGATGCATCCATCTCATTGTTACTTCTTGCTGCAACGATAACCTTGGCTTGTTCTTCCACAGTAAAATTAGTCCACTTGAAACTGGGGTCAATGTAGTTCTTGTACATCTCCAGAATCTCGTTGTGACTCACCACCCCGGGGTTTGTGAAGTTCCATATGCCCCTCAAGTTCCTCTTGGCCATCTCAACTGAAATGGGTAGAAGCTCGTCCAAGATTGTCATGCTGTTTGGAATGTCGACCACTTTGTTGTAGCGCGAGATCTTTGTGATGAAGTTGCGTGGGTTGCTGAGATCAGATGATATTGGCATTCGAACTCTAAGAGTGCAAACATTCTCATACTCCTTTAGAAGCTCTTCAACCTGTTACACAAAAATGGGAAAGAGATATCAGTTGGGAATTTGGGAGCTATTTTAAACTTCTTTTAAGATTATCACAGTAATAGATAATGATGGTTGGAGAAAGGACCATGGCTTTGGTTTTGGAATAAAATGAGCCTGCAAAATTCGGTGTGTCTTCCTCCTTGAACCCAATTCCCGATCTTGGTGGATGGGCATCATCATACTCGAAAATGCAACCAGTGGCATAATTCACCATTAGGAGGCCGTGATCTCTGCAGACATCAGCCAAGGTTAATGTACCAACAACATTGGTCCGAATTGTTTCTGGTTTATGAGATTCACACCAATCCACATTGGGTCTGCCAGTCACTCCAGCAGCATTAAAAACATGGGTTGGTTTAACACTCAGAATATCAGCCATGAGCTGTGACCGTTCCTGAAGACGCCCTCGTCCATACTCATAGGGTAACCCTTGCTTCTCACAAATCTTCCCAAGAAGGCCTCCGATCCACCCTGTTTTACCATAAATCAAAAACTTCAGAGATGGCTTCTCAGTAGATTGGATGTTCCTTGGAGCTGGAACAACCATTTTGCTCTGACTAGAATCACTTGCTGACAAAGGGTAAGCAGAATCGCCAGTATCGGAACCATCAAATTGTCTTTCAATTCCGGGAACCATGAGCATTTTTGGATGAGGGAGCAGTGCCCCAGAAACATCTCCCCACCATTGGGGATTCTTGACATACCATTCCATGGTCTTCCTCAAACCCTCCTCCCACAAAGTCCTTTCCGACCATCCCAAGCTTTTCAGCTTCTGGTCATCCAAGAAATATCTCTGATCATTGAAGGGTCTGTTCTCTACAAACTTTACATATGTATCTGGGTTCAGAGAAAATAGTTGGCAAATTTCCCTGGCCACATCGACCACCCTCCTCTCTTTCTTCGTCCCAATGTTGTACACATGGCCTACCTCACCCCTATGGAGAATGACTTCAAATGCCTCTGCTACATCCTCACAATAGAGATAACTTCTGACATTGGATCCATCACCATGAATCGGAAGAGGCTTCCCTTGCATAGCCAAGAGAATGAATTTTGGAATCATCTTTTCAGGGAACTGGTTGGGGCCATAAACATTGTTTCCTCTGGTCGTTATCACAGGCAATCCATATGAACGCCCATATGCCATGACAAGCATCTCTGCTCCAGCTTTAGTTGCAGAGTAGGGGTTTGTCGGAAGAAGCTGAGAAGCCTCATGATTTCCCACCACAGCATCCTCATCTGTCTCCCCATAGACTTCATCTGTGCTTACATGAATGAATCTTTTGATTTGACCAGTGACTTTGCAAGCTTCTAGAAGAACATGTGTCCCGTAGATGTTGTTTTTGGTGAACTCAAAGCTGTTACCAAAAGAGTTGTCGACATGGGTCTGGGCTGCAAAGTGCATTATTGTGTCAATGTTCTCGGTCAAAAGGATGAAGTTGACAAGATCAGCACTGCCTATGTCTCCTTTGATAAACTTAAACTTGGGGGACGACTTTGAAGGATTAAGGTTCTTCAAATTTGAACAGTAATCAAGCTTGTCAAGGACCACAATCTTGTAGGCAGGGTAGTTCCGGATAAGCCGGTTGCAAACATGGGAAGCAATGAAGCCAGCAGCTCCAGTAAGGAGGATGTTCTTCGGTTTATACGCAGTATCCATATTGATCCAAAGGACTTCTGCATAATCCAGCATACAAAGTTTGACTAAGAATCCCAAAACTCAACTAAAAGAAAGCATGCTAACAAATCCAGGAGATATATTGCCATTGACACAAACAAAAAATGGAAATTCACGGACAAAACAAACTTGCAATCGAGGCTTTCATGTTTTATAACCTATCATTAAGAATTTAATAGACCTTCATCATTCTTAGACTCAATTTCAAGTGAGATAACAATGAAAAGAAGACAGATTTTTGGTGCACAGGCATCCATTCTCTAAACAAACCTAAAAAAAGGCAGGTAAATTTGCTGCATTAGTCTTTCAAGGAAATAAAAAAAAAAAAAAAATACTACAATGTAAAGTTATTTTGCTTGTATAGTTATCGATGCAAACCTTGATCCGAAAGGACTAGCAGAAATTTAGCATGCCTCTCCAATCAGCACTTATAAAATACAAAAGGAAGACGACCCTTCCATCTGATTTTCACGTTTTCATGTCATGTTAAAGGTGACACAAAATAAGCTGATAAAACATTTAATAACCATCAAACGAACGAAAACCGCCAGATTAAGATAACTGCAGAATTACTGTTAAAAAAACAGCAGAGTTTAGGAAGGAACAAGAAACTCTTATGAATAATTAATTAGGCCATAAAAATAGCTTCTTTTAACGGATTCCTGACTTGATTTTCAAACAGAAACAAGCATTTCGTTTTTCGAAACCAATTTTCCAACGAAGCAACCAGACCCCCCAGCAATGCAAATTGCAATCAACCAGGATCCCAAAAAAAAAAAAAAAAAAAAAAAATCTGCCAAAAACCCAACGTTCATAAAGCAAACAAATAACAACCCACATTGAATTTACTAGCATTAACCCAATAAAACACGCTTAAATTCGAATTACTTCATGCATAAGCAGGAGATCTGAGTCTACATCGAGGGAGTTTTTCCTTGATTAACAGCTACTGACCCGTGATTAAGTAAATTAAACAAGTTTAATTACAGAAAAACATGAAAGATTGAAGCTTTATTGACTTACAAATCCTGGTTTGGAGTGGATCTTGAGTACAATTCGCAGCCTTTTGTCCTGTGCTGGATTTAAGACAAGTTGAAGAAGAAAGACGAGAAATGACTAGAAAAAAAGAGAGAAGGAGATGAGAGTGTGTGAGGAGGGAAGGTGGAGAACGGGATATTTATAAATACGCATCACAAAAGAATTGAATTTTGCATTTACAACTATATATATTTTTTTAGTAAATTATAGCAATGAATCTTTAACTTTAACACAATTATAACAATGATCATTCAATTAAAAATTCATATAATTAATCTTTTAACTCATCAAAACATGCAATTATAATCTTTTTTGTCAATTTCATTAGAACTTCTATTAAAATGACTCACGTGTAATGCATGTGAGGCTAAACTAACGAGCAAATATAGAAAATCAAATGTGAAAAATTGTAGCAAAGGTCCCTCAAAATGGTCCATCAACTTTAACTCAAATAGAGAAATAGTCAATTGATTTTAACACAATTGTAGCAATATTTCCTTCTAACATAACACATTTTGACGGAATTGATAAAAAAATACCATAGCAATATGTTGCGACGAGTTAAGGGACCAATTGTCATAGATTTTTAGTTGAATGATCATTACTCTAATTAAGTTAAAGTTGAAAGACCTTTGCTATAATTTTTTCTATTATTTTTTTGGTTAATTATATTTCACATCCTCGTTGTGACAGATTTTTAAAGTGATCCATGAAGTTACAATTTTTTTGTTACATCATTAAATTTTTAAGATTATCAAAATTTATGTATCTAAGTTATTTGATCGTCTCGCAATTCATTGTTCACTAAATTGATGACACGTCCATTACAAAATTATTAATAAAATAATTTGTAAGCCACACTTTCGTCACTTGAACAAAAAAAACCTCATTATCGTGCTTTCAATTAACCTAAATCAATGCTTTGTGTTATAGACTGACAATCAATTACACAATTCGGTCCATAATGTGCAAGTCTATTTTATCGTCAGTCCACACATACAACATCATTAATTAAGGAAAGGGATATCAAATACTAGAAATCCAGAGATTCTGACCATCGAAATTTGATCAAACGGCTACAATTATTATAACTTTTAAAAGAACTTCCTGTTTGTAACCATTGCATCAAATTTCAAGGATCCGAGTCTCCGAATCTTTAGGATTTGGGGGGAGAGATCTAAAGAGGATCTATTCCCATTAATTAAAATGAAGAGATAGATTTATACAATTGAAAATTTTAAGGTAGAATATGAGACAATTAAAATTTTGTAACCTATAAATATTTTATTGGAATGTTTGTTACGTTTTTTGGAGGGACGGTAGCGACGGATTTGGAAGGCTGAGAGCCACAGGTTCACAACTAAAATGGTAATTATATTTTAATTAACTTACCAATCAAGTTAATCAAGTCAAATTAAGGGTGATTCATGAGATTGGACCTCTCTCTATGCGGCCGACAACAATGAATCAATGCTGTTGGTTAAAATTTTGTGTTGTTGTGATCGACGGTTGTAGATCAATGTGAAATCTTCCTGTGATGGAAAGGGCCCCATCAACAGAAAAATTAACTTCCACTGACGACAAATTAGGCTCGTTGGAAAGATGTAGTACCCGTCAGAAAAAAATACTTAAATATTGAAATAATTGTTTCGCAAGTGGCCCTTTACCACAATAGTGGAAAAATATTGAAACGACGTAGGTTCAAGCCTCGTTGATGACTAATATAACATCTAATCTAACAAAATTCATCGTTTGACAAAAAAAAAGAAGAAGGATTGTTTCTACAACTCTCTTTACGTGATTGAAAACCGAAACAAATGTACCATTGCTTTCAGGCGAAACATTAGTATGCATTGAGATGTTAGTCGTTGGATCCTTAACTATTACGTTTGTTGTTTCATATTCGGTTATCATTCATTCTGATCATAATATAGGTCGGTCCATCATAGAGTTTTCTCTAAAAAGGGACATTTGTGGTAAAAATCAGAATACCTCAATTCCAAAACAACTATATAGATTATTTCCGATGGAATAAATGAATCATGACAAATTTTTTTATTCTTGATGGTACATTCTAAAAAAGAATCTCAAATTAGGATTCGAGATGACTGAAGATGCTCTTACCCTTTCACCCTTAAAAAAAGTGCCACATATGTCTCAATTATCAAACAACAAACAATAAAACACACCTAAAAGACATCCATATATGTCATAATGTTGAGCACAATGCTGCATAAATCAATCAGATCGGCAAAGGGTTGCATTTTTCTTGTGTGCCTTGTATTATATATTATGACAAGGTTTCACAGGACTATATGCCGTGCAGAAATGTCAACCTTGTGCTTCTCATCAATGTTTTTTTTTTTCCTTTTCCAAATGAGAAAGCAAAGTTTTGCCCACCCACACCATTGTTTCAATGCTTTGCATTTAATTTGAAAGAGAAATTTGTAGGATAGTGATATCTACACATTATTTTTACTTTTTATGCACTCTTATTAATTTTTGGCCGGTACTCTTCCTTAATTAATTCGATCTGGCGGCTAGAAATTGAGAGGGGTGTGTGAATAGAACTACCCACATTTGTATGATATTTTTTGGATAGTTCTATTCACATCCTCATTTTTATCTCCTAAACACCCTTGTTAATTTTTAACATTGTTGTTCTTCAATTTATCCGATCTGACAACCAAAAGTTAAAAGCAGTGTGTTAGAAGTAAAAAAAAGGAATATGAATAACAATACCTTATTTTTCTGGTCCACAATGATTGTATGAAATTTATGTTATAGAGACTGGTATTGTAGGATTTTTATGTCAATAGTGCAATGTCATGTATTATTTTCTTATGTTGTATTATAAATATAAAACATCACGATAATAATGTATCTAGATCCATCTCTTCACATGGTGAATATGGTACAATATTCATTAAACAACGAAGGATACGTACAACCTGAGGATAGTGTGCATACTGGGCCTCGATAAAAATCTTGCCAGGGATTTCAACACGGTCGAAGGGAAAAAGAGTGTCTCGCACAACAATGTGACCTATCCTCAGTTGAACAATAAAGAAATTACAATCCCTTCCCAACTAAAATATCTTGGAGTAAATCTGGAGGCTCTTCAAGCCACACAAACTCTTGAGAACTCCCAATGCCCATACGAGCAAGGCGATGTGCTGCTGAATTACCTTTTCGCAACACATGGGTAAACCTCGAGTGAGCCATCCTTATGAAAAAGAACCTAACATTGTTTATTACAGGACCAAAGGATGAGCAATCTTCCCCTTGATCTTTTAATGCTGTTAGCACCAAACCAGAGTCTCCTTCAAAAATAACCTTCTAGCCAACAGGACAATTATTTTTAACGAATAAAACTACATTTCGAAGGGCAATCAACTCTGCATGGAATGCAGATTGTGTCATCTCAAACTCCCCCCAAATGATTGCAAATTACCACCCCAAAACCCCTTCGTAACCCATTTCGACTCCATGCCCCATCCATTTGTACTTGAACCACTCAACCTCAGGTTTCTGCCACTGTTGCACCTTTCGGCTAGTCTTCTTAATAGCACTCTTATGCCACTTTTGAAACTCAATCAACTAGCCCTTAGCTTTTATCACGACCTCTTACGGCAGGAGCGAAGTACCGTTCCAAACCATGTAGTTCATTTGCTTCCAGAGAGCCCAAATCAACATCAAACAAAACTAAAAACCAAATGACGAAATCTGTAGAGATAAATGAGAGATCCAATGCACTAGAGGCAGCCCATGATCCAGCTCCACCATCAGGCCCAAACTTCGAAACCACACTGCCTTCGCCAAGCAATGCTTTTCCACACATAAAAGTTGTTGGCGTTAACCCGAGCCTCCAGAAAACCCATCGTAGGAAAATATCAAGTCTTGAATACTCGAAAAACAAGTGACTCAGGTTGATGCATGATGCGCCAAGCTTGCTTTGCTAACAAAGCAAGGTTAAACACATAAAGATCCCTAAATCCAAGGCCTTCATCACTCTTTGGCTTACACAAACATTGCTAATTAAGCCAATGTATCACCAAAATTTTGCAATCATATTCAATACCTCATAGAAGATTTAGGGAGAAGGAAACATTGCATGGAATACATCGGCAAAGCTTGAGCAACTGTTTTCACCAACAGCTCTCGCCCCGCACAACTCAGTAGTCCTTCTCTCAAACTTTGTAATTTCTTCCAAAGCCTATCTTTCACATATGCAAAAGTTTCTTTTTTCGATTTCTTGATTAGGATCAGTAGACCCAAATATTTATCATGAAACTCCACCCTCCTCATGCCAAGGCAGTCGGCAAGCAATTGTTATAGTTTCCGTGTTTGGTAAGCCGGTGCTTGGGCAATGAGTTCCTTGGCCATAGAAATTAGGAAAATATAACCATTGTCCATTATATCTCCAAAAGGTCGTATTTTCTTGTTAATTTTCCATCATTACCAAGCATAGGAAATAAAATTTTCATTTCTCATCCCCTAGAAAAAGACATAGATGTTGTAGTCCTATTAGATTAGGAATGTGATTGTGTAAATCCTAGTGTATCTAGGGATATCTTGGAATATTATATAGAATTAGATATTATCTTATTAGAGTGTAATCCTATTAGGGTAAGGAATTAACCTTACCTACTACTATAAATAAAGGCACAATGAGGTGGAATAGAACACACCTCACAATTACACATCTTTCTTTTCTCTCTTTATGTGCCGCATTCCTTTTTTCTCTGGTTTCCATAATTGTTCAGTAAATTATGCCTACAACAATAAAAAAAATTATTTTTCATTACTTCAACTTCCTGCATATTGTCAATTGATTAGACGGGATGAACTAAGGTTCAAAGTTAAAAATTTCAAATATAAGAATCAGAAAAGGATCCAGCGATCCTGCAATCGTGTTTGTTCATCATACATCGTGGGTCAGTTTTTGTTAGGTACTATTTATATTTGAATTTTAAATTTTAAATGATTTCTGACCGCATGATGTACAATGAATGAACACGATTGCGGAATTCCTAGGATCCCCAGGAATCCGTGTTCGGAAATGTGTTCACTTGATGGTGGCTGGTGTTGAAGAGGGGACATTGACACATTGTCAATCACAATTAGGGTCAATTTGATC